GAAAATGTTTATTTTTATGGTCTCATCTTGTGGGTAAAACGGAAATATCCTATTTTTTTAAGGCGGGTGTTGGCCTATCTTTGTAGATATCAAAACTTTGCTTTAAGACACTCAAGCAATACCTAACCGATCACCTCGGTAAATGTTTACAACTTCATTAGCAATGTTGTTAGAGATATTGTCTAGAGATATATATTTTTGCAACATTTCCATGATTTTTAACAGCCGGAAATCGTTGATGACTATGCAATTCCTGATTTACACGCAGTTTTAAGTCAAAAGTTCCAGTTCGGTTGTCATAAACTATAAAGGCTTTACTAATGCTCTTTTTCTTTTCTTTAACAAGTGTTTTCCATAGTATACGACGCAAACCCCATACTTGGTATATCCTGAACCAAGCCCGAACCCTTTTTTATGTCCCATATCTCTCATCTACCTTTGCCTCTGGGGTTTTCGTTGTTACCCTTATGAGTTAATGAAGTCTAAAAGGAACAGTCTATAGTCTACTTGTCGGGGTGATACAGCATAGCTTTGGCGCAAGGATAGAGCTTCAGTGTGTAATTTTACGGATAACTTAAAACATGTTCTTGAAAAACTGTGTGGTATGGTATGAAAATAGCGGAATGCAGGTGGATCCAAAAACGGCTCAGTTAAGATGATAATTAACAGATAAGTTTTGGTGTGAAGTGTCTCAAAGCACTGCCGCCTGTGCTCATCACGCAAAGACATGACTCAAAGTCCATGGGGATATCTTTACCTCAGATTTTTGTTGCTAGGTTATTTTTTCCCCGGCCAGAGAAAAATATGCATTATCTATCCTAAGTTGAATAGGTGGCAATTAACAAACATTTGTGTTTATTGAAAACAAAGCTTTGTCCCTTTCTCGTGTGGAAGTAACCACAAAAAAGCTCTTTAAACCAACTCTGTGTGGGAAACATAACGAGAGTTCGGCTTTGTGGTGTCATTAAGATAACATACCGTGTGTGGGCGCTTTGGTCAATTACCAGCGCTGACTTCGTCTTACAGGAAATAACTAACGTGCCGGAGAGGTACACAAATTATCTCCCCTCTAATGATGATTATGCTCTTCCCAAAGCAAAGTCCGCTGGCGCCAGACGGCACGGACAGACACTTGATCTATTTGTAGTGGTGCGGATCATGCATTAGTTTCCGCCAAATCAAAGATTATGCAACACCGTCATTAGGACAATTGTATAATCAAGGCGCCATTAAGGTGCCAAATCTGTCTGAAATAAGAATTTGTAGACGATTTTAAATACTCTCCAAGTTGACTTAGCACCATACAGCTGCAGGTCATGAAGCCCCTATCTCCAATCAATCGCCCCGAGGTAACCCTGAAGAGATCTAACATGTTGCTTAGTGTCTCAGTGCGTAGATGACACTGAAAAGGGATAACAGTATCAGGGTTAATTTAATCAAGAAAACCCGTTTAAACATAGGTGATCCGTTAGGTTGTTTGACTCCAAGCCACCCAGTTTCTGGTGATCCCCCAAGTTACTTTACTTGATTCTGCAATAATCACTGCATTGAAAAGCTAATCGACAACTTACAGCAGCAGTTGTACAATTTATATAAGTAGAAAATTGAACCATCCTTATGTTATTCTGATGTTATTTTGAAACCACCTAAATTTATCTTTTTTTGCCATTTCGTACATCATGTTTCACTCATCTTGTATTACTCTGGTTCCTTCTGGAATGTTCCATCATTAATTGACATTATGGCCGTTAGTCACTCTTCCTCTCCCTTGCCACCCCACTCCTCCTAAAAAATGAAACGCAACTAAGTTTAAATAAATTTCCAGAGACGCTTGGGTTGATGTATCATTTAAGTTTACACCACACAGGTGAGTAGTTCTTTCTATACGCGCTCATTGGCTAGCTCAGAAGTAATTGGCCGAGTTTTACTGCCTTCGGAAAGCCGAGAAGCAGTCAAATGGCTTCTTATTTCTGACGGATATTCAGAGAGGAAATAAAATCATTGATTTATTTTGAATTCGGTTTTTATGTTTTAAATTCAATTATACTTAATTAATCTTTCCAATGTCTTGTCCTGAAATGTTCCAGGGTTTCGGTCAAATGTCAAGTATTGTAAGAGTAAAATGAGAAACATCTATGGCCGGTCATTTTCAAAATGAACTTATAAATAAACTTCTGGATGAACCGAAAATTGATTAAAAGGCGGTCCCGTTAAACAATGATTTAAGTTGATTTAACTTAGCTCCAATATTTCGTAGCTCTGTTTCCGGTAGGAAATTACACTCACTAAGGAAATGACATTCAGGAAGTTTAACAAAAGCAACCAGAATTTTTCCATATTCAGAGGGGCGTAAGTGGATTTTTTTCTGTCAAAGAAAAACGCTTACCACGAAAGGTCATTGCACAGCGAGAAATTGAGCAATTTGATTCTCCGACCGCATTTTGACATATTGTCAGTTTTAAGGCAATTTTTTGATCTGTTAGTTAATTAGCTTGTAGGGTATCAAAAAGACACTTATAATTCACCTCAGGGTCAGGGGATAAGTCAGTATTACGTAAAATATAACATGGAAGGAGAGCAAAGGATCTTCCTTGAAGCATCTAAATTACAGTCTATCTAAACTACAGTCTATCTATATTGCAATGAAACCTTTTCATTTTAAGGGATTAGAAAATTGTTTTTATCAAGCAAATCAATAATGGTTTTTCATCCACGGTAGTGCAAGGTGTACAATTCAATAAAGGAAAGACTTAAACGCTAAGTTAATCGATCTTTTTTTAACATTCTTGTGTCAGTGAAAGTGAAATACTGTATCGTAACACATTTACTGCGAGCCGTTGATGTGTGAGGAATAAATATCACACAGGAGTAGCTCGGAGCAGGAGTTCTCACACGAGAAAGTGAGTACCCAACGAATAATGTGAATAATTTTTCAAAGGTAAACTATCTTTCATCTTGTTATTAAACAGAGTAAGTTCAAAGGTAAGATATTGTAGCAATTAGTGACCGTCTGGGAGATTTACAAAACACGACCGCCTCAACAATATCATGGCATGATCATACGGAGTAGAATAGTCATTCTCAGTACATGGGTACAATTGGTTTCGCATGCCCTCAAATGAATTCTTAGTCCTTGACAGTGTTCTTCGAAACGACATCGATGCTTTGTGTAGAGTTCATGTAACATCTATTACAAGAGAACGAATTTGTGAACAGCGGTGGCATGACGTTCATAAAAGAAAGATTGTAGCAAGTAATGAATGTAATCTCGATGAGTCTTGATTGAACTCAATATATACTTGCCATTTACATTTCCGTTTCTCAGGAATATTTATTATCAGGCAAAAGGTTTTATTGATTTTCTTTAAAAGATTTTCAGTACGAAGTGTTAGATCTCGCCTCAAGCGATTTTTCGTTTCAAATGAACTGGATTAGAACCCTTGAGAGAGGCAATTTAAACACAAAAATTTACGTTTTGCTTACAATCTTGTGATTTATTTTACCTTTCCGTAAAAAGAGGATTTCTTCTGAATGCGCGAAATAGTTGAGGTTCCATTTAACCCACACATTAACCGCATGTTACGCTCTACAACTTAGAATATACATGTAGAAGTTTCAGTAAAATACACTTTTTCGACCTTTTGAATCCCTGTTAGCATCCGTTTATTGATGATACCCTACTTATAAAATAAAGTTGGGCAAGTATAGGAATCCAAAAGGTGTTACACACTTGTCCTTTGATTATAACAGGAACAAAATATCAGATGACTCGGTGTTCATCTTTTCACTATAATATTATTTTGGACGATAGGAATAGAAATTTTTCGAAGGAGTCTTTCCACGTCCTTTAAAATAGATGTGCCTTATTAACCCTGGAAAACGATCCAATGCATTTCTCTTCATCCGGAATAATTATAGATCTAAACTGAACGGATCTTTCTTAGAAAAGGAAAGCAACTCCACAATTTTATGTATGATTTAATAGATAGCTGCTGAAACAACAAGATCGTTTGAGATCTAGAGCTATTACATGAATAACGTTGGCTTTAAGGAAAAGTTACAAGTGCTTTGTAGAACAGTTGCAATTCTCAGCTTGCAAAAGCGCAACCTTCTTCTATGAAGACTTTAGATTTGATTTAATGTATTAGGCTCTGGTGTAAAAAATATCAATTTCTATTTTCCTTCGATGGTAACATTTTTAAAGTCTTTAATTAGAATGTAGGTTATTTGCCAAGAACTCTTCTTTTTTATTGTTGCTTTAAGAATTGCACTCGTTTCTTAGCTCTACTTGCATTTTTAATTCATTGTTCTGTTGAAAATTGTTAGGAGTAAACCAACTATTTAACCTTAAATGTACTGTTATAATTGTTTGGATACTCATTCTTGTTACATCTTACCAACGCATTAACGTTTTTTTTTTCGGTCATAAAAATATGACCCTTTTGCATTTGCCCGACTACATGATTCAGAGCAGTTTGCCTGTCGCGCTTTCAATCTCTAACTCTGGGCAATTTAGTCAGGGCCTTGAAGGCTTCAACTCCATAAACGTGGAAACTAATTTAGGGGCCAAAAAATTTTCATGGACAATCTTAAAAAAATTTTTCTTTACTTAACCTTCAACATAGATTGTTTTGACCTCGCTAAACAGTTAAACACGTAGCTAAACTTGCGCAATGTTTTAGCGATTTAAATGAACATATGTTTTTTGCTATTGAAATTTCTTTAATTAAACTGACGGATTGATGGGATTTTACGTACGATATCTATTGAATATGATAAACATTTCCGGGCAGGAAGGAAGCACTTGTTCATATTAACGTACGAGAATTTACCCTTCTTAATTACATAAATAAAGTGTCTATAATCCAATATCTATGCGGTCGATAATTGATCGCTTAAATTTGAATATGCTTTTCTATTCGTTTAGCGCAACTTGACATGTGACCAGCTTGCGCGTACCAATAAATGCATAAATGGCAGTTCAATCCAGGTAAATTACACATTATCAAAAGACGAAAAACTAAGCGAGAGCAGAGTTAGAATTTGGTGAAAACCACTATCTCCAGGTAAGGGAGACCTATATTTATACAACTTCATTTTGTTTTTCTCCTATTCTTCTGTTTTGAAGTTTTGTTCCTCTTTTCACCACCATCATCAATTATAAAAATGAACACCCATGAAGAAGCTCAGTAATTTGCGTCATGGATGTGGGCGAATTTTGTTAAAGATTGTTTTACCATCAACCTAAACAGTAATACTACCTGATACTTAAATTCTCATTGATCTCAGTGAGACACTTGTTTTCAACCTCCCCGGTTAGTGTTTTTCGAATTATATACTGATTTCACAGTAGTCTAAATATGACTATGTGTGTGGGAACAAGATGTGCAAAGTTCAAACTTGACGAAGCTAAAAATATAAGCGAGTTGAGAAAAGTGCTGCTCCGTTAACTTCTGAGGTTTAATGCTGCCCTTCTGATCCTGAGCGCTTGAGCAGGGCTCTTTTTTTTCAATTTTTTTTTCCACGATATCGCCCCTCATATAGCCAGTAAGCATAGATAAAATACAAGAATCCTTAGAATGAAGCCAAATGCTTGTGATCTCCAAGTGAATCACTATAACGTAAGCTTAAGTTTCTTCGGGAAGGGAAAGACTGGATTTATTTTGATAGGATCCATTTCGATACAACTTCCTTTTCATGACTTGCTGACAGGACGTTCAATTATGCTTGTAATGGTCACGGACACCACGTTATATATCACCAGATGAAGTTAGAGAAGGCAATTGTTCATGCATAGCAATTTCGGCAAATTAATAAAATAAAAAATAACTGTTAACCTTAACCCAACCGTAACCTTATTAAAGTACAGCGTCAACCCAAATGATTTAAAACTTTTAACAAAATATGTCAACAGTTGGCGAGGGTGATTTCTAATTAATTGCATAATGAAGAGTTCATAATAGAAACTACTTTGTCTTATTTTCGAAACTCTTCTGCTGAAAATGCGACAACTTGAATTTTATGAATATCATCATGTAATTATTCTAATAAACAGGCTTGTGTTTTCTGAAATTTACCTTCGATGCTAATGAGAGGTTTTGATTGTGAAACATTTAATCACCTTCGATGCAGACGAGGAAATTTTAAGATTGACACTGACGTTTATGAACTCTAGACAACAACCCTGTTAAAATTCAAATTTGGCCAAACTTAAGATTAACACTTATCTAATTTATCAAAGTTGCGTTAACCAGATTGTTATCTGTGTAGACCCGCAGTAACTAGACGTGAACTTGAACTTCCTCAAATAATGCTTCATCATGTCCCTTGAAATGATACTTTTAGGTCAGTGAGTCTACGTGTAATTGGTAAGCAAACTGAAAACGGACTGAAAATAAACAAAATGTCCTTGTTCTCATGCGACGGAACTCATCATGTGCGACAGCTCTCGTAACATGCTTGCGGTTAGTGACAACATAACTTGCTGGGTTCCCTTCAGCTCGATCAATGAATTTACCGGTTCTTGGAGAGCCTGATAAACCTCTCTGAATTCCCAGAGGTTAAATCCCTTTTATATGAAAATATACACTATCTATCTCGGAGTATGGGAAGCGATAACCTTGAAGAAACATTCTGATCGGCTTGAGGTAGTTTGTGCTGGAAACTTGATTGATTCCATAGTTTCGTCATGATAAAATTTGAGGACAATTCAGGACTGTACGATTTACAACTTAAGTTAGTGGATTAGATGACTAATATTTCATCTTACATGAATACCTCTTCGTAAGAAGAGAAGTAGTTCAAGGCGGTCAGGTTCCATTTAACGCGTTAGCCACATGAATTGTTTACAAGCATTTTATTATCAAAAACCACCTGTGCGTCCAAAAAGAATTCTGAGCCAAAATAGGACCAAATAGAAGAGTCACCCCATGTTGCTACTTATTTGTTGCACTATATATTACTCTTATAGCTGCAAACCTCAGATGAGTAACTAAGTGCCTAAGAACCTATCGGCCTCGGTGCCAATTAACGCGCGAGTTATGGCGTGTTGTGTCTCAAGGATCTCCAATGGAGTCAATTTGCTTCTCACGCGATGGCCCATACTCACAAATTCCCGCTGAATGGCCACCTTAGTCGATTTCCTTACTTTTGTTAAAACTCTGCTGATTTAGTGCCCCAAACGTACTTTGCATCTAATTCAGGTCTTTTTGATTGTCCATGGTCAAAAATTGGCTCTCGGTAAATGTACTTTACTCCACGTAAAAGACGAACGGAGCCATGGAGATCTGAACTCGCATCACGTGTCCTAAGTGCATGCACAACCTTTTGTTTGTAAACATATCTTAAAATTTGTGTTAAAAATAGCAAATTGTCGCGTGGTACGATCCGCCGAAGTGTTACGTACCAAAAAACCGCGTGTGGTTGTTTTGATGGTGTACAGTTATAAAGGAAATAGCTCTCGTACCTGTCGGAATCAACAAGAGGTTATCTTTTAATCAATAAATTCGGTATTTGGGACCGGAAAGTATCAGGGCATCTTAGCGTTTACTTCTTTATATTCCCGCCAAAGTTAACAGTGGCGCGACACCCTTTGAAGTGTATCGGGACGTTGTCAATAGGCTTGGACTTAAACTTATACGCGATCATTTCTTAATTTGACTTCACGAACTCCTTTAAGCACAAATTTTCCACTGCTGGAAACCGTGAAATTTCTTTTAAAAAACGAGATTTAAGTAGCAATAGCCGTCTATATACATGGGATATCGAGATTTTTTGTCTACATCACTTTAAGCGTATTTAAGGCCAGGAAAATTCAGATGCTGATCGCCTAAATTTACTCTAGGTTTACACTCATTAACATTTTTTTAGCCTTTCCTCTCAATTTACTCGAGCTCCCCGCTTTCTCGACCTGAACTTTGTCTCCTTTGGCAGTTTAAGTTGCTAGAGTTTCTTTTTACGCTGAAAAAATTCAATCGCTGCGAATTACTTTCTGAAGCGTCCTTCTTAAGAAAAACTAGGTTCCCTCTCCTTGTTTCACGATGCATTCCTAATCATGGGCGAACAACTCATGCTTAAAGATGTATGTACAGTACTGAAGAAATAGTCGCAACGTTTTTTGACGCAACCACTTCGACTATGCCCAGTTTGTTTACATGTGGTTGGACCTTTTCAGGAAACGATGCGTGAGGGGAATTTATGAACGTGTTAAAAGTCATAGGAATGTTATACCACAACATAGCAAGTTAAAAAAGAGTTGCCTGCCTGCCTACCTGCCTTTGCATTGCCTACGTCATTGCATTCATTAACGCTTTCGGAGACCTTCAAATGCTAATTCATTTAATTTTCCCCAGAAGAATAAGCTTCAGCAAATTAATGAGCATGCCGGCCGGTGTATTCAGCAAATAAGGCAAAGGCTAATAATCCAAGGGGATTAGATTGTTTTAACATTTAGTGAAAAAATATTTAGTAAACTGATTTTTTCTTCCGAGAAGGTATTGGCTCAAAACCACGAATGTTGCCAATATTTGTTAGTATCCTTTTTAAGAGGGGCCTGTGGGTTAAGTGATCGGGTTATTTTTTTTTTTATTATTTTTTTTTTCGGTGAATGAAGAGAGATTTGGATAGGAAATACTGTTTAATTAAATTTTCAAACAAAAGGACTTAAGAAAGGAATTTTTGGATACCTTGGCACTTTTGTTCTTTGATTGTGTAACATAAAAAATTGCGGATTATGACAGAAGAGCTACATCCGAAACGATAATAATGACAGAGTACTGTATTGTTTATGGAGAGGAAAAGAAATTTAAGACAAAGAATTTTAAGTCTATATGAGACAGATATCATGTAGAGTTAAAGAGTTCCAAACTTTTTTTTTTATTCCCGCCGAACGAAATGTGGTAACAACCTTGTAATTAATGATTTTATTTTCCGTACACTTTTGTGGTAGTACCTCTTCACTTAAGTCGAAAGCTGTTCGGCCAGTATAAAACACAGTAAATTTGCTGTAAAAAGGTTTCCTGATTGATGGGACATCCTCCAACATACCATTTAATCATTCACTCTCTCAACCTTTGACTGTCAGGCCCCAGAACATGGCAGAATGTAAATATTTGGGTCTCAGCACGTTCATGAAAAGGTTCCGATGGAGACCAACACGCTTCATGAAATCCTGTGAATAAGCAAAGACTCATATTTTTAAACGAGATATTTTATTCGTAAATGTAAGTCCGTCGTTGTGTTTGATTACACGATGATATAACGAAGTTATAGCCGACAATAGTAACAATCTTAATTCTTATTTTCCTTTTTATCATTTCGTCTCTCGACTTTTGGTTCACTGTTTTCTTTCCCTCGCTTTCTTTTTTCCTCATGTTTCTTTTAGACGCATATCCTGTATACCCCATACGTAAATGAATCACACACAGTGAAAGATTTTCCTTTAATACGTTTTACGATAATTTCAAGCTATGCAGGCTGGAACAGTGTCAACGAACAAAGATCTTTTTCTTTTCAAATTTCGAAGTCCCAAGATGAAACTGATGGTTTGATCGGATTTCAACTATTTCCAATAACTCTCTTATGTACATACCACGTATGATAAAAAGTTCCGGCAAGGAAGGAAGTTCCTTTTCAAATCAAATCTGAATGACTCACACACACACTCACACACACAATTGGCTCGGGACGGTGACGTCGTGTAGCGGTACAAAGATTGTTTCAAAATGCGGCAAAGCTCAAGATAGTATAAAAAAATTTGCGATAGGAAAGTGAAAGAAAGCGATACGAGGCAAAGACTGGAAATCTAAAGCATTGATATTCTTTTACGTTTTTTTTTTTTTCTCGGTTTTTTGGTTTTCCTATTTGGCAAAATTTCTTTTTCGTTTGACGCCACACACAAGCAAACAAAGATAATTAATCCATCATCAATGGGAGAGTTTCCCGCCAGCAGAGATTTCCGGTGTAATTTGAGTGGTATGTAATTTTATACTTCACAACACAAGCATACTTATACTTACGATAATAACTGATTCGTCAAACTTGCAGAGACAACCGTGCCGATCACACGAGGAAAATAGAACCGACTGACAACACTGAAAGATGGAGTGTATATTTTATCAAGTGGCATTAATTTTATTGACGACGCTCCTAAGCGAATGCGACACAAGGCCACACACCTCAAGAAAATTGTTATCTAATGGACAACCTCCTTCATTTGAGGCAAGTATCATGATGTTTACTAGTCTTAAACAATGAATATTGAAAGAGGTCAGTAATCTGGTACTTATTGAGCGTAAGTTAGATGGCAATGGGTCATGCGCCCTTGACACTCGCCGTATCATCATTCTCTTATTTTACTGAACCGATCGTAGGACTTTGACAGCAGTTCACAAATTCGACAAATGGCCGAACGTACGTTAAAAAAACGCCCGCAGACAGTGAAGAGAATTTTAAGATCGTGGATCAGAAGAAAACCAGTTCCACGGCAGCCTAAGACGGCAGCAAAAGATGCTCATCTGGCTAATCGCACCGCCTACTTGGCACAGATCAACAGCTTGCAGGTTCGAAATCGTCGCTATGCGCTATCAAGTTCCTCGTGGGGTCACAGAAATCTTATCTGGTATGCCAACGTACAACCCATGGCTGCAGCGGTTTTTACGGCGGCATTTAGGGTTTGGGCAGAAGTAAGTAGATTCACGTTCAAGCGGCAGTCTCACTTGGACAGTAACGTAGACATACAACTCAAGTTTCTCAAAAGTAAGTGACTTTGAAATCTACCTCAATAGCATGATTAGATGCAAGCTGAATTGTGCCACCTACCTACCGCTGCTGGCATTTTTCAATGACACTAATTTAGAAACAGCAATTAGTAGCGTCTCAGTGATGTGTATTCATTTATTTACATATATATATATATATATATATATTATTATTATTATGATTATTTGCTTGTTTTGCGTGCGTAGTTTATCTGATGAAAGACAGAAGAGTAAATTTTTTTCGTCCGTACCACTTTGTATATGTCTTGTACCCTTTTATCATCTTTTACATTCCTAGCGAATGAATATCAACACCAAGAGTTAATTATTCCGCCATTTCACAATATATTAAAAACTGACTGTGACTTTTTTAAGGAAATCTTTGCGTGCAAACAAGACTGGAGAAAACATGGAGAAAAACTGAGGGGGGTGGAAGATTCTTTATGGATGTTGGCTAGGGTTTTTTAAGGAAAACAAGAGAGCTTCAAAAATCTGTTTTCTTTTCAACTCCAGTTAAGCAACAGAGAATGAGAATTGATCGAAAAACGTCATTTGCGCTGAATTTTTAGGGATGTTTTATCAATTCTTGTCTTGGAAAAGTCCTCTCCGCCTTTTATCTTCTTTGGGTTATTTTTCGCAACTTATCGTGTTACAATTTCCGCCTGAATTTCCGCTGTCGCCGGCTTTGACGGAGAGCCAGAGCTACTCTAGAATGCTAGGAATGTCATTATGTGATCACAATTTTAAATTGAAGTACTCTATTAAAACCCTGACTTCCCGTTGGGTGTCGGTAGTCGATAGAATATACAAAATGGCGGCTTTTTCTTCTCGTGGTGAAAAAGGAAGAGTGCTCCTTGTGCATACTTTTACTTTCACTAAAAACTATGTATAACCAGACACGGTTTTGCCAGACTCGCACCGTATACTGACTGCCCAAGTATAAACTGAACGGAGTTAAAATAACAGCAGTCGTTGTTTTGAATACGGCTGGGTACCGGAATAAAAGCATTAAAATGCACGCTTCAACCTCGAAAGGTATTGTGGGTAGTTTTCAGGTCACGTTGACCTCAGGATCTAAGGAAATCTGAGAAAAACGTTACTGTAAGGACGAGGCATTGCGGGTTGGAGGAATTTATTTTTTCATTTGACTTATTAAAACATTGATTACTAGATACCTAGATTACTTAACTCACGTAATATGCCAATCAATGCGAAGTTTTAACATTCCCCCGCGCCACCCACGGGCATATGGCCGTCATCCGTGGGGGTAGGGAATTTGAACCTTGCCTTGCTGGGGTGGGGAATTTAGACAAGAGGTGTTCAATGTCAGCGAAATAAGAATATGAAGGTGCGTAAGGTTAAAAGTTCACTTTCGCGAGCGAGTGGCTCAGAAGGAAAGGTCTGCAAGACCCAAGTCTTAAGGCTTGCACATTGTGTAGAAAGTCGCGGTCGTTGATTTTGCCATTCACAAAAAAAATTGGTTAGGGCATTTGACACAATTTCTGAGGGGGGGATGTTGGAATTTCGAATAAGAGCTATATTCCATAGAGAATGGTGTTCCGCTAATGCCTTGTATCATTTGTTAACCAAATTTCTTTTAAAAATCTGGTCTTAGATGGTCACAATGATCCGTATCCATTCGACGGCCCTGGCAACAGTTATGCGCATGCTTTCTATCCTCCTCATGGTGAGGTCCACTTTGACGCTGACGAGAAATGGGATATCCCTTATACCCACTGCGCAGCATTCTTTAACAAAACCATCTCACCCGTCCAACCTGGCTGTAAAAGTTTATTTCGTGCCGCAGTTCATGAGATAGGACATAGTCTGGGTTTGAAGCATTCTTCTGTTTCGACTTCCATTATGTATCCAACCATAAGCCTGGACACAACAGACGTGTGTCTCGATGATGACGATATCGCGGGTATTCAGCATCTTGCAGGTATTACTTTATACGTCCATTACTTACCATAAAATACATCGGTAGAATGTTATTCTTTTGTTGCACCTTGTTGGTCTAATTTGTTAAACTCTGTACTCTATTTGTCTTCCCTAATATAAAATACAATGTGTGCTCATCGGTTTTATGGGTTTTAAACTGCTATCGGTTTCTTACACGTCGCCAAACAACGCCTAGAATAGATTGTTTTGAAACTTAGGTCAATTTTATTTTTCTATGCATTTTTGAGATTGGCGGCCATTATCTTCGTCATGTACGAGAGGCATTATTATGCGAAGAATAGATTCATGAGATAGAATACGTTTAATCTACTATTAGTCTCGTACTCAGTCCTTCCACGGTCAAACGGTAGAAAGTACATTTCAGTTACGCGGTAGGATCTAGGTGTGAGATTAACACACCATTTTAACCACGAATCAAGGCTACACAGGCTGTGATATCATCTTTACGTATACAACATATCTATTTTCGTTTCCTGCTTTATGGTGCGAATTGATTGTAGCAAACGAGTCACGCATGCCATGTTCTACAACTGTGTTTCGAGCATACAATGTACATAGCGCGTCTATATGACAGTAGTTAACGAAATGATGATGATGATAAAAATGGCGGCAACTATAAAAATGATAATGATGTCGAAAATTACAGTGCAGGAAGTATGAATACCAATGTCTTTAATTCTGTTCTGTCATGTCATAATTGGTCTAAGTTAAGCGTTACATTCTCTCTCTAAGGTAAATGTGTTCCCAGAGTGAAAAGTATTTTTAGCTGGCGTAAACATCAGAATGGTGTTTGGGCGACTTACGTCATGAAAGGAACAAATTACTGGAAACTTGACGCAGAAACTACCGTTTCTATGCCAACCTATCCGCTGGGTATAGTCAATGGATGGGTTTCTTTCCCAATGGACCCCGATGAAGTTTTTGATTATAGCACTGGGGATGTCACGTACATTTTCAAAGGTTCAGAGTATTGGAAATACCACAATTATGGAGACGTGATGTACAGAGGCTATCCCCTAAGTATAGCCGGTAATTGGCCAGGGATACCAGACAATATCGATGCTGCCTTTTCTACTCTTAATCATTATACCTACTTTTTTAAAGGTAACAAAGTTTATAAATTTAATCAAGGATTAGATACTACAAGTGCAGGGTACCCGAAACTTACTTCAGAAGAATGGGACGGTGTTCCTAACGATCTAGATAGTGCTTTCGTCGATAGGAAAACGAATACGATCTACTTTTTTCATCAAGATTCTTATTACGCGTGGAACACAACCGCACAAAGAACAAACTCAGGGGGCCTAATCGGTCATACTAAATTTTTTGAAATATGCGATATATAGATATAGTTTAACCCTGTTCCTCAGGGCTAGCAATTAATTTTCTCATGGCAAAAGATGTTAAAGAGTCCCTAATCCCTGTGTATAGTTGTAGATTACCTTTCAAGCGTTTGACAATAAGCAGCTAAATATTGAGTTTAGTATGCATTGCTTTGGTACTGAAAGTTGTTACAAATTTAAAATGTCCATAGTCTGTGTTAAAGGAGTCGAAACAACCGCAACGGCAGTAGTGGATACGAATATCATGGTTGAGAAAAAGGTTTCATGGGCAATCATTAAAGTTTTAATTTAAACATAATTCTAATTTCCCTCGACCTTATCCCAACGAAGTGGTCGTTTTGGTTGTTTAGACTTCTCTTAATTTCAAGTGATATATAATATTGTGACGACGCAACAATATCGTTGCGCATCGACGCTGTTTCTAACAAGTGTTTTCTAATACGCTGCAAGAAACATAGAGACACTTACGACAGTCAGTTTAACGACAAGAGGCTAATATTTCAAAAAACAGAACGCCTCGCTAAGGAATCGACCCTACTTGGCAAAAACTACATTGTCAAAATACCCGACGAACGCCGATCTTGCGTAAGAATTTTTTTAAATGACGATGGGCATTTTCAAGAACGTACGGAAAAGCCCTGATATGTGTCAATGATTATAAGGACTGTTTCATCAACTCAGGTATGTTAGTGTACATATCAAATGACGAGCACATTTCCCCATGACATGTGTGATATAGTGCATTTCATTTCAAATCATCTTGAGCTCGTCTCAAGCTTAGCTCGTGATGAGAGTGATCAAGATAATTTTGTTGCTGTTTAGAAACTGGAAATAAATATTTCTTTCAGAAAAAGTTGTTCCGTTTTCGTGAAACTCGACCCCTGCTATGTATATTTCCTTAAGGTTCCGTTTCGTTAGCCCCTCGGAGTGAATATTATCAAACTTCTCATAATATCACCCCTGAATCAAACATTAACGCCACAAGAAGAAATAATGAAAATTGAACTCGGTGGAGTGCAGTTTGGTCAGAAAGTATACTCGAGGGCGAGTTTGATTTGAAACCAAAGGTATGATTTCGGATTTCAACTAGTTCAATTACCACTGTATTACATCCATTTTGATATTACAAAATTCAGTCGCTCAAATGCAGGAGTTTTTAGTCTACAAATATTTTACTGATCCAGTACTCAGCTGGTTTTTAAAAAGTTGCAAAAGCTGTCTTTCATTTTTCTGCAATTTGATTGGTTAAGCAAGCTCTTAAATCTGATTAGTTTTGTGTTTTAGCGAAGCTTTCTCATCAGCTGGGAAAAAGATGCGATTAAGAAAAAAAAGGTGCGAATCGTGTATGAATCGCGTGTATAAATCAGGTAAACTTTATTGTGACATAACCAAAATCTTCGAGCCCTTCCCCCCTTCGGTGATAAACTATGACCAGTCCGTTACGTTTTACAGTTTTCACTATTCAGGCATTTCTATTACTTCTGCCATTTACTTTATGAGGGCCTCGTTGAATAACACATCAGTGACGTTGGCTCCCTATCAAGATATCTTTATTATGACTTGTTTCAGAGCCACTTTATGTTGGAGGTCCCAAAGCGCAAATACTGTTAATCCCAATTTCATTGCTATTCATCAAGAACTAAAAAGCCAATGTTGACTATCGTTTTTGTTGATGTTTCAGGGCAACGAAAGGTTGGGATTTTTCTTATTTGAATCTGTTTACACAGAAATGCCTGTCAGTTGCACTGCAATGGCATTTTTACATCGTCCAGCAAACTAGTGTCAAAATGCCAAACGCTGAGTAGTCGAAACCATTCAGAGCCCCTTTAAATTACACATGATATGACGATAAGAGTAGCTGGTAGTTGTGAGTTTAATGGAATCAGTGTAGGATCGTTTAAGCAGCCCATAATAGTCTGTCTGTCACATGGTCCTCGTTGGTTTTGTGGTCAAACAATAGGGACAGTGTAAGTAGAATGAGACGAATGGATGATATCCAGCGGAAATTCCTCTGCCGTAGCATCATTTAGTTGGCATTCTCCCTCGTCATCCGCGTGCTGTGATTTATAATTGATTGATTTGCATGTTGGATTATTCATGCAAAGAAAAGCACAATGAATGGCGGATGACGTTAATTCTTCGTAAATCACATGATTAATGAGAGCATTCCACTCGTAGCTGATGAAGGATTGTTCCTTCTTTGTTGCGCTCTTGTCTGTGGTGAAATGAAAAAAAGTGTGTTGTTTCAGGTGTTTATAGGAAGTTGTGTGATGTCGTTTAGGGGTGTGACATCGCTTAATAAGATATGCATACTCTTTGGACTGAGGCCATGAGGGTCCTTTTCATTTCTACGGAAAAACCATATCTTGTAAGAAATAAGAGGAAAAGGTCTTTTCCACAAGAGGAAGGTATAAATTAAGAAGTATTCCTCTCCTCGAGTTTTAACCGGAATAACTAGTAAATCACTGCATTTTTTTCTATTCCTCCCATCAGCCAATTGCTCCATACTACATTAAGTTGAAACTTAGGCAGCCATCGTTTCTGTTAAATTGATTATTAGGGTTCGCGCCAGCCGTTAATTAGCAACTTCAAGTGTGCGTGCAACTAAAAATAACTACTAAATTTGACACAGCCCTTAGTGAAAGTCAGTAATATACAACCTTCCGAATTTGGATGGCGCTTGTGACTGACAGACAGCATGGTAATTAAATATAGGAATAAAATTAATGTAATTTGCAAACTATAATAATATTGTCTCAAACTTTGAACACCTGTTAAATTTTTGTTTGTTTGTTTGTTCATTGGCTTGAATCCTTTTCATTTTGTGACCAACATGAAATAACTGACGCAATAAGAGGGTGATTGATGTTTAAGTTTAAGGTAGTGAAAACTAAGTCATTAAACCAGGGGTTTACCGCAATGATTCAATTTACCCCCTCCCCCCCTAAAATTTGATGTTGTTTGTTAAAAACTGCCCCTATTTTCTAGGCGCTCCATTGATTAACCACTCTTTTTCTTATAACTGCACCTATTCTGTTTCAGCGATAGCATTATTCGCAACGGATGTAGAGCAATTTTGTCAATTCAACTACTCTCTGCTAGTCACAAATCAGCTCACCTTTCCCATCGAAGGGCTGGGCGTGTGTAAGTTTACACACATATTTATACCACATAATACACGGTGTGTCATTCCATTTTCCACGGGACGACGACCCATCCAGAATTACACAATCGCTCATGTTAAAGCCATCATTAGGTTCATTATCTTCCCAGTTCTCATATGTAACAGTGCTACCATCGCTCCAAACGAACACTCCTTCAGTTTTGTTGTCGTTAAGACCAATGAAAACGTTTTTGCCTCCGGCCAAAGTTCGCACAACTTCGTTTTCTTCTGGGCTATGAATTGACACCAGATTTGCTTGGTCCTTTTTACAAGCAGCAGAAGCGTCTGAGAAAGAGGCTTGGGAAGGAACAAACTTAAAGCAAGCTTTATTCCATTCTTTCCATCCCGAGTGACACTGAGCTGCCTTAGAACACCAAAAGAATCCACAAACTAAAAAAGAAAAAAAAGAAAAAGAACGAAAAAAAAAGGTATTATGACTCCATGTGTCGTCGGCTATAGACTACAATAAGTTCTTGTTTTTTAGTGAAATCCGTCGCGCGGGTCACAAAAGAAATCAGTCAAAAAAAAAAAAATGTCAGTGCGCAGTGCAGAACTCTGGGAGTGAGGCACAAGGCACTAACATCATTTGTTTGTTTGTTTGTATTTTTCACTGATTTGTTTTCACTTGTACGACAGACTTCACAGAAAAAGAGGTTGCTCGTAGTCGACGTCAGTTATGCGAAAGTTTAATACTCATTACCTTGTTCTGAAATGGTGCGAAAATAGAGGCAAGGTCTACAATATGGGAAATAATTGTGGGAAATTGTAGCAAATGCTGTTGGAAAGTGCTCAATACACATGAGTGTAGAGCGAAATACAGTTCAAAATGACTAAAATGAAACAGGCATGATTCCCTGTAACTCTGAGTTTTGTGCTTACACACTCGTCCGACAGATTTAATGAAAAACATTCTTGTAGGCTAATTTATATAAACAAAGAAAGGTAGCTGCTGATTACAATAGGTTGTTGTTATATAATAGGTGAGAAAAACTTACTGAATAAAAGATCTGAACTTATATCCGAATGCCGTCACGAAAACAAGTTTTATCTAAAGAACATCTGACGCTTTCCCGCTACAATAGACTTTTGTCAATATATTTACACCTACTGCCTCATTGTCCTTCATTGATACATCCACACCCATTGTAATTTTCGCTTTTTCTCACCTACTATATAACAACAACCTATTGTAATCGGCAGCTACCTTTTATATATAGATATAAATTAACCTACGAGAATGTTTTTCATTAAATCTGTTTGAAGAGTGCGTAAGCACGAAACTCAGAGTTACAGGGAATCATGCGTGTTTCATTTTAGTCATTTTGAACAATATGGGAAATATATATTTTTAGAACACTTCAACGGCAGTGCCGGTCATTTTGAAGAAAACGAACCGTAAAATATTTTCTGTAATCTAAAAATCATTTTAAATTATCAAGGTTACCCTTCCGACGACACGATTTTATCTAATTTCCTGAAATATTTATGGTGTGTAATGAAATCAATAAAAATGGCTAAGGCAACTTAAACTATATGAGAAATTTGCATTCAAAGACATTTTCCGCTCTTTTCACCGTCGTGTTTTATAGGGTCGAACTGTTTTAACTGTTTTTGGATCTAACTCATTTACGCCAACACTGAAAAAATCAGTAATGTCGTGGTTCTGATCAAGGTACACTTTCAGGTTGGAATTCCGCATCACTGAATTATTTCAAAATATAGCTAAATTTCCAATGCGTATTTGTTAAATAAAAATCAGAATTTCCATTTTCTGTAACAGGTGAAAGCTTTTTATAGAAACAATTTAATATGTCCGGTCAAATAAAAGAGAAAAAAACCATTTGAAGGTAACAATCGTCACCTTTCGGGATCTTTAAAACCTAAGAACGATCCAAATGTGTCATTGCCGGCTGTGTAATTACACTGAATGGATCCATAACACTAAATCTGTAACTCATTTACTTTTATGTTCATTACATTTTTAAAATCAAAACCTTTGAAAAACCATCAAGGCCTGTAGAGTAATTAAGAGCCGTATGAAACAGGAATATACCCTGGCAGAAAAGGAGGCACCGACATCGAGTAAAAAGGTCTTGTTTTTATATAAGTGCTCTAAGTTTGCGAAACTTAAGTTTTAATGCCTGCCACAACAAAACATAACAAAAAATAAACAACATCAACAACAAACGGATCAGAAGAAAACAAACGATCTCGGAATCAATTTTCAATTCTTTAACTCAGGTTTAACATCCTCGTTTGAAAGCTAAATTTCATTAAGAAGTCCGGTATAACTATTTCCTGATTAAGATCTGCATTCGGGTGATTGCAGGTAGACATTACCAAAGGAAAAAGACAGTAACATATTTCGCCTTACGAAGGCGAGTCAACTAATGCTATCTCACTTCAGCTTCAAAGCCAGCGGTAACTCATCGGTTCTTGATAAAAAAAAAATTATTTCAAAGTTTCACATATACATCGTTCGGTTGTTAGAAAAACGTTTTCAGTCTCTCATAGCTTCGTTTGGGAGTTTTCGGCAAATGTTTAGCTAAGAAAACTTGACATCTGCAAATTTGTAGCATCTGTCATTAAGTGTGCTTTTCTTGAATTTCCTCTGCGTTTGCCGCCATCATTTAATTTTTTTCACCAAAAAACCCACCATTACATGTTCGATGTTTTGATACGCCCTACTTGTCCCCCGTGAACCTGAAATCGACTTTGCTTGTTGCAATGTGTACAGCTTCCGTGAAAACAGTGAAATGAAAGCATTGCTCTTCCCTTAAGGATTTTTGCAGCTTTTCATAGCCGTGTAATTGTTTTTCTCTAAGGTCAATTTTTTCGTATGACCCGATTCACTTAAAAGCATTTCTTAACTCGCAACGTTCGAGATTGGATAGCAAGCGGAGAATGTTTAAAAGTGGAATAAAATTCAAAATGCCATAGAAAAGAGCCTTACTTGTAAACGCAACACCAACTGCTGCAATCCATCTTTGTCGGTTCATGCTTCTTTGGAAATGACAGTTAAAAACTTACTACCCTATTTCAAGTTAAAAAATATTACCTCTCCTATGATTTGACTTTGAAATTTATTCACAAAGGCGCCGCTCATGTTCGATGAAATGTCCAAGTAGATTCCGAAGTATCCGCCGTCAGGAACATTTACAGCATCAAAATTAAAAACACTTAAAATCGGTGACGTCAATGACAACACTTCTGGTTCCTTTCGCATTATCTCATTGTGTTCCAATTTAAGATCTTCCAAGGGATTAGAAATCGGAAAATGCTCCTTTTTTCCAGGTAAAATTTCTTTGTATTGTAAACTACCACAGAAGCATATTTGATGTGGATGAAAAGTGAACCAGATGTGATAAAAGGTAAATTGTTATCACTTTTTTGGACATTTGTGGTGCATTTTGCGATATTAGAGCCCGATGAAATAAACCAATGAAAAGCGAGAATGAAACATCGTTCGATTTAGGCAGATAATAAATGTCACAAATCCATTCATTTCGACCACTCATGGAATCATTTGGAAATAATGTGCTTAGAATCAAAGGAACGTTGACAGAGAGTTTGCATTTCTTTGCAAGATAAATTCATGACGGAGAGAAAACTAAAAACAAAAGTTTTGAAGGGGGTCCAAATCTGCGAGAGGTGGTCCACATCCGCTAGTGGATATGGAACGGAGTTCTAAATGAGCGGGGGTCTAAATCCGCTGAGACACTGGTAGCAGAGACCCCTCTGAAAGGAAGACGCATTTGACAGGAGTTGCCTGCTTTACCGTGGGAGATCTGGGTAGAAGACATACCTGTGTGGAAAAGTATGTGGAAAAGTGGAAAACATATGGAAAACATACTAAGATGACTCAGCTGACCAGTTATACCGATTTCTCATAAATAATGATGGCGACGAAATTTGGCTGGAAGAGAAAACTGCCTCAAAATTTAGTTGAGAAAAGGGCTGCTGTATTCGATGAAACCAACGAAAATTCAGCTGATGGCGTAGAGGAACCATTTGAATTGGACTGGCGAGTCCTTTTAGTGAAAAAAGGTGTGAAAAGCATCGAAGATAGCGTCACGAAAAGCAAGCGGCTAGAAGAAGAAGGAGTTTCTCTCGCAGAGCAACAGAGGTGGTACTTTTAGAAATTGTTATTACTTTGATTAGTTATATCTAAAATAGAATAGTTTCTTCCCGTGGAGTAGCGTGTATATCACTTCATAGGCTCAGCACCTCTCTGCGTACTTGGGCCTCCTCTAAATTGCTGTAAATGTTTTATTGCCTTGGAGCTTTTGCTTGCTTCTTCCTAACCCTTTAAACCCAAAGAGTGACCATTATCCAATTTCTCCTATAGTAATACTACTGAATTATTCATTCAGATCATGAGGATAAAGGCAATGATTGCCAACCAAAGAAGCTTTGATTGTTGAATGAATTCTCGTAGTCAGTACCGAAAGACGTGTATAGAGATGAGTACGGAGAATATGGATACTGATATTAGGCTATGACGGGTTTAAAGGTTCTTACTTAATCTTATTTGTCCTTAACTTTGATATTTATGCATCTTTATTTTCAATTGATGCTGTGACAGGTACTGGGAAGCACTTGGAAAATGGAACGAAGCGGTATTGTTGACTCCAAACAATGCAAAGCTTTATGAAATGAAATCACAGGTAATGGTACTTTTCTCCTCTCACCCTAGAATTTAAAAATTCCAGGGCTTAGGCTAGGATTTTAAGCCTTGGCTTATCTGTCATATGAGTTGTTATTTATATTAGCTTTTTTTTTCATGTGTAATATAGGTATTACTAGAACTACATGAGTTATTCCCTGCTATACAAGCAGCAGAAAAAGCAGTTTCTTTGAACCCTTGTTGGTATGTAGCCTATCAAACTCTTGGTCGTGCGCAGATGGGGTATGGTGATGTTGAGATGGTAGGTACCAAGGGTATCCCATTTTATTATATAGATACTGATGAAAAACCAGGATTTTTCCTTTCACTGAAGAATCATGTCTTCATCGCACGCAGTGAAGATACTATTTTATCTTTCATGTGTGAGGATATTGGTGTTGCTATGGTTACTAACATGATAAGTCAATTACAAGAGAGCTTCCTGCTCAGGCGTGCAGCCAGTTCTTTTGACATTTCATCAGTGTTAATAAAATAAACAGAACATTACATGGCCGCTTGGGAATATGGATTTTATCTTCTTGTGCTGTGAGAGATACTTTCAGCATTCAAAGATAAAATTTGTACCCCTGTGCAGCCATGTAATATCCTCTACTTTTTGCTAAATCTGCTAAATATGTCAATTGATTGTTGTATATAAACATTATCAAGAAATTGATAAATAAATTAATAGTAAACCATTTAGATAGCTTGTAAAGTGGTAGCCAGTGTCTCAATTCAAAGCTCTCCATAATTTATCACAGAAAATCTGGGAGGAGTGTCTCTATGGGACAAAGCTAGGTATTTGGAATGCTGGGAATTTATTCTGGTGATCCTGAATCAACTCTGCCTAACCCTTTTTTTATTAGAACATAGAGCAATAATCACGCTAATCTGACCCTACATGTTTGAAGACAGATCCCTAGACACTTGACCACAAATTCTTAAGAAAACTCTTTACCAATTTTTTTATGAAATGTTATTGCATACAAGAATTTTGACGTGGTTGTTGAGAAATCTTTTTTGAGGAAATACTGGTAGATGTTCCTAGCTTTTAATTTTCCAGAACATTATCAACATGACATCTAAATCACTATGTCTTTTGACATGTGATGTCTGCAATGGTATTCAGAGGAAGTTTCTTATACTTTCAGTAAAACTGCTAGGTAAGTTAAGCAGTTTGGCAATGTATCTCAATTTTCTTACTTTTAAGACCAGATTTGTATAGAAAGCTCAACATTTCTAAATGTTTTGGCTCAAAACAATGTTATAAACAAATTTATAACTGACAATATTTCATGTGAGTAAAACAAAATATTTGAAATGCTTTGTTCCATAGGGGGTGAAAAGCTTCTCAAAGGCTATTCTGTTACAACCTGATGAATCAGAGGTAAGGAAATAATTGATCTTATTTTCTCTCTCAGTTATTATGTGCATGATCATTGGTCAATTTAATGGGAAGCATTTCACTGTACAGCAAACTAAATTCAAAAATTTATTTTGAGCAATTGAAATCCTCCCCCTCTGCTTGAACCAAGAGATGCAATGACTATCTTACTAACCTCGTTTCTCAGCTTGCTTTTTCTGTGCCGTTTTATGGCCAACATAGATCTGAGAGGAATAAACTTATAAACTGGACAATAACTTAAAGTATGCACCTCAAATTTGGTTAGTAAGAGGTATAAAGTGTTTGATGGGGCATTTTTCACAATATTAGATAGATGCACATTTCCTTATTTACATCAATGCATTTTGTTACCCTGCTTAATTATAAATTCTTTTGGAGATGTGGTCAGAGGATTTGCACTGGGCCTGGAAACTGAGAGAACAGAAAAGGAAACAAGATGAGATCAAGAATAGTACAAATCCTTCTGTCCTAGAAAGCAAAGAACTCTTCGAGCTATATGCCACAGACTTGGGACAGGAAATAGAGATGGAACAGACATCACTGAATTTAATAACCAAGGAAAAGTGAAATATTAATATAGAAAGAATGTATGTGGAGAAAAAATATTTGTGGTCAGGCAGTGAATATCTATTGACCTGCCAATCAGTAGCTCATAGAATGCAAAATGTCCTGGATGGTCATTCCTGTAACTGATCAGTAGCCTTTTCAGTGTCACTCAAAACTTGTTTGGATGTAATGCACATCACCTTTGGGAGTCAAGTTACTTATAGTCATCAGTTGTGATAAGGAATGTACAGTGATAGTTTGAGGCCATGGAGCTGAATGGTTATAAAAAACATCAGGTTTACTTGCTATATTTCTTTAGCATTTAGGACCTGAAAGTGGATAACTTTTGAAAGCACTTAAATAATTTTTAACTGAAAGAACAGTGTAAAATTCCTATTCATTTATGCAGTCACAGTGTGAGCACCAAAACATAAGAAAGCCTTGGTTAACTCTTTGTTCTTCACAATGATAAGATTCCACTTTAAATATTCCTCCCACATATTTTTCTGCTTCAAATCAGTGAAATTGAACTTGTTCATTCTTAGAGAGATTTCCAATCTGTAACACTTTTTGGATATTTTGTTTGTCTAAGCCAGGATAGCATTACTGAACATTTCCTTTTTCAGAAAAATCCTGGGTAGCCTTTTCTTCACTAGGTAAGGTAAAGTAACCCCTAAGCGATTTACAAAAATAGTTTATGGCGGTCAGCTGACTAGGTCTTGAAATAACTAGTTTAATTTATAAATGGCATAGGCAATATTAGTGTCAAAAGTAAATACAAATTAGTGTTTTCCTTAACATGCTATCTATTACAGCTTACAGAAAAATCCAAACTAAACCAAGACTGAACTTGCTCAGTCCTTTATCCCCAAAGAGCAACTGGCTTCTAATTTCTCCTTGTAGTATCACTATTGAATCAAATATAAAGGGCATGAGAATAAAGAGAATGATCACCAATTTAAGCTCCCGATTGTCAAACTATTTCTCTTAGTCAGTACCATAGGAAATGTTTTGGCAACAGAATGGAGAATATCAATATTCATGTTAGAGTGCAAAGACTTAAAAGAGAAGTATACCCTAGAAACCAATTTATTTCCTTCAATGCCATGTTAGGGTTTATCTTTCACAAATCCCTTTTGGCAAAGTTTGAGGATCGCTGAGAGTATCAACTTGTTAGAAAGTCTTCAAGTGTGCTAACAGTTTAAGACAACAGTAAGGCATCTCAACAGTGCAGAGATCAAACTGTTGCAGCTGTACTCATCACAAAAAATTAATCAGATTCACAGCTAGGTTGCTAAGCAAGAGTCAAAATGGTGCTTTCAGGGATCAATTTTCAACCGGATTTAAAGACAATTTGGGAAAGGTTAGATACTTTGGAATCTCAAAAGGCAATGATTGACACAATTTCTTGTGATTGTGTAAATAACAACTATCTTGTTTCAGAAGTAAAGTTCTCTTTAAACTTAACCTCATCACCTTGAGGGTGTCTTAGTTGAAATTAATTACAACTTCACCACTTGGCCTTTATAATGCTCTTTATTCATCACGTAAAACCATTACATCATTTAAATTCTTTTTTTCTAGTCTCCATAACAACATTAAAGATAAATCCTACCCTAAAACTTGCAGTTAAGAGCTAGTGTGCTGACTTTGGGCAAATGATAAATTAGTAAATAGAACTATGCAGTAAGACGACCCTTGTACTACTTCCCTGATGCAAGATTTCATTAGACATTTCAAATTACTCCTTAAGGAGTAGCTACTGAACCAACATTGGGTGACTTAACATTAAATTTAAAAATTGAAGATAAAGTCTCTTACTTTAACCCAGGACTGATTTGCCATCGGAACACACAATGCATTTGATAATTCTGTTGACAAAATATTTACCACTAAAAGAAGCAACATTGCCTCAGCCTCCCAAATGCTTTTGATGGAACCAAACCTGGAGACAGAATGCAGACTTTGGTGTCTAAAGAGAGCCTATGATGTAATGGTATTGAATACTACAAAGAGAGAGAGATGGAGGAAACAAAGCTAAGCTATCAGAATTCAGTTACCACTCAAGGTTGAAAATATGCCATTTTCTACTCTATGTAGTGGACAACAGTGGTCCACCAAAGCATAATCCTTCTAGAGTACCATATGGCTCCAGAGTTTATCACAATCAAAAGATGTCAGAAATACTCTCACCCAGACTCAAGGTGAAAGGTGCAAGTTCACAATAATCATTATTTCACAAAAGAGAACCACTGAAAAGTGTTTCTTGGAAAAAAATGTCTAGCCTAAATAGCATATCAATACTGTTGGGTCACTTACCAACAAAACAAAACAAACAAAATCAAACTATAAAAATGAACCAAAGATAAGGCTGATCAAAAAGTAATTTACAAGAACCTGAGTGGTAAGCCTAGGATCACTAAACAATTTTTCTTAATTTCCAATCTATTTTCCTGTGACGTTTGATGGTCACAAATCACATGTACATTTTGCAACTGGAAGTTTTGCTAAGCACACCAAAATCCTAAAATCCATGTCAGTAACAGACTGTTTCATCCTTAAGAAAACAAAAAAGTCAAAAATTCTGCAACCTTGTATGTTGTATGCAGGGATCCCCTTTAGTTCCATAATGAAATTATGTCAGTTTTAGTTAATCTTGCAAAGAGTAATTTTTCCACATCTCTAACAGTACTAGGTTAGAAAACTTAGCATAACACTGTGAATTCCCTTTATCAACATCACTTCATTTTAACATTCAATCTGATGAAGACAAACGTGAACATTTTGATTTGAATTCTTGAGAAAAAAGGAACTAAAGTTTGGTCTACTAGTGTAAAATCAAATAATTAAAACCATACATGAATAAAATAAACCTATGTCTAAAAAAAAAAATTGAGTTAAACAATGTCAAAAACTCTAAGGTAATATTCTATGCCCACAAATAAAATATTGGACAAAGAAAAAATTCATTTGAGCTGACCAAACACATTTGAGGGGAAGCTTTGTTCACACAGTTTAAATGTAAAAATTATTATAACTATTGGATACCATGGTTTGTATGTTCAAAAATGTTTATCACTGTCTTAAAAAGAAAATAAAACTAATTTCTTCATCATCCTGCATTCCACATAAGATATTTAGACTTACTCTCTTTGTAGGCCTATATCAACAATAAAGCTGGGCTTCTTAATTTCTGATCTCACTTCAGGGGTTACAATCCCCACTCGAAGATTTTGTTTAACTTTATACATTTGACAACAAACTGATTTATTTGTTCTTGAAATTTCCTATTTTAAAGGAATTCCAACATTACGTCAATTGCAAATAAAACTTGGCCTGTTGTAAATCTTGAATCACTGCACACTATTCCACTTTCTCTGCATCACCCTTTTCATACTTTGCTGGCCGTTCACCCTTCTTGCTGAACTTTTTCACCAAAGCATCTTTAAAGCTCTTCTTCTTCTTCACCTTTGTTCCCTTCTTTTTTGCTGGGCTCTCGGGCTCTGGTGAATCAGCACCTGGAACCAACAAGTCACCATCTGGACCATCCTCATCTCCAACCTCAGAACTCTTATCATCACCTGCTTCACCATTCACTTCTGTTGTGATTACGACTGTCTTGTGTGTGTACTCTTGTCTGATTTCCTTTGTCTCATCACCATTGATTCCCTTCTCATGAGGCACTGACTCTGTGATCACAACTTTTGATGTTTTTACTGTCACTTCATTGTTCTCAGGGGCCTGTTGCAAGAGAGAGAACTCAAATGATGGCACAACATACAGCCCTTCAACTCCCAAGATAAAATGATTTATACTCCCCTCTAGAAGTTACATATTTATTTGTAAATTAGATACAAGAATTTGGAAAACAACTCCTAGCTGATGAGTTTGGGTATTCTCATAACCTGTTTGCTGGATAAATATATGGATGCTATGAAGGAGAACTAGCATGTTAATCACTCTGGGAGTGTAAGGGTTTAACTTAATTTCTAACCAAATGATGTTGCAAAAAGATTTAACTAACTTCTAACCATCACAGAATAACATTAAAGATTTTTGTTTCTTAACTGTTATTGACAGGAATATCAAATGCAACAAATTTCTCAAAGTTTTTGCATGTCAGACAATCTTAGTGTTCAATCAAAGTTTTAAGTATTTCAAATACATATTGTTAGGCTTTCACTAGACAACTTGAAATGCTACAGGAACACTTATTTCTCTACCTGCTCCAAGTCCTTGTCAACTCTTTCTGGTAAAAGATCCTTAATTGTCACGGGCTCGTCACTCTCCAACTCAACTTTCTCCTTGTCCTTCTTGTACTCTGTAGACTTCACTGGGGTGTTCAGCCATTTGACACGGTTTCTGTAAGTGTTTGCACGCCCTGTAGAATGGGATCTTTTAATTTGTCCTCGTTCAATCTCGGGTGTATAGTACATCTTTGCTCGTGTGGATGACACAGTAGATGGAGTGGTCACCTCTCTTTCTGCAGGTTTCTCACCATGGAACACTTCAGGATTTCTATACACATAGCCTGTCTTGTAACCCTATGGATGAAAAAACAAACCACCCCTTACACAATCAATCTGTTTGTTGGTATTGGATAAATATTAAATCTTTTCAAAACATTTCTTGATGCTAAATTGCAAAATTTGTTGAGCTAAACTACAATATGGATTGGATACAAAACATGTGATTTTTCCTAGCACTACAGCACCAATACTACAGTCAATCAATTGAATTTTGTAGAACTTCAGGAAACCGTTATCTGCTACTTAGTATCTTGGCAACTTGATTAATGCTTTGAATTTTACTGCTATACTTTCATCCAATCCTGATTTTCATCACTCACTTGTCAAACTCGAACCTTAACTGCTCTGGGAATTTTTTAGAATGTTATATTCAAGAACACGATTTTCTGAGAAATATTTGGACAAATTTTCATCCAAATTTTCTGGTAATTAATTTTGCAATCCTTTTTACAATATACTATTTGAAGGGTATGCTGTTTTTAACATATTTCATATGAGGTACACTGCCCCATCCCAAGCATTGATTGCATTAAACAGCTTTATTACCCAACAGTTATAGCACTAAGTAGAGTCTGAAAATGCATGAATCAAGTATAAATATCTTGTAATATTGTATGGATTTTTGGACAACAGCTGGTTATTTTAAGAACTCTATAAAACCTATCCACAGCAATTTTTATGCAAGACCTATCACAAACAGCTTCTTTACTTATACCAAATGTACATGAAATAGAGCAGCTGGATGATAAATTACTTGTTAGACATTTTGTTTTGTATAATTCTTACTTTTGGTTTTAATTTTGACATGACCTGCAGCCTTGTCAGAATATGGCACAACTTGTAAAAATACTCCCTGACACTACAAAGAGATATATATCCTATAAATTGCCACATTACCATTGAGTCCAGTAAACGCATCATTGCTTCAAACTCCATTTCTCCTCGCTTCCACTTTATGTCACCAGAGTTAACACCACCTCCTCCTTCTTGGGCCGTCTCAACCACTTGCTCTTGGGCAAAATCTTCACATTTGATGAGGTTATCAATTCCAACACCAACAGCTTTTATCTGCAAATATAAAAATGTCACAATGATTGTAAATAAATAGTCAATAATATAAATTATGACTGGTAGAGCTACTGATGTATTATGCTTGTATTCATACTGTGTGAATGACAATAAGTGTTTGTGTATTCCTAGAATATGTACATGTTCTGTTTCATAGGCAGCCTGGAACTAGCACAGGTAAATGATAATGCACAATGGATGTAATGACCACATTCCAATACTTCATGTCAGTCAAGATTTCATTTGAACTAGACCTCCATAAGCCATTACCAAAGTAAATTTAAGACTGCTGTTCACATTGTAAATTACTTTAATAAACAGGAGTCAAAAGGAATATTTCACCTGGTTGATGCAAGCCTTCACAGCATTATGTGCCAGGTAAAATGCTTCTTCAATGGTCTCTCCACAAATGACAATACCATGGTTTCTGAGTACCATTACCTTACAAGAGAAAGCAGGTTGTATTTATGTCAGTTTTAGTGGTTTTCACTGTAGTGTGTTTGTGAGTAAGACAAAAAAAATCTGAATCCTGAATCCCTCCTTTGAAAATTGTGGTTGTTAAACTGCCAACAAGAGTTACAAACTAAATCACTGTTGCCACAGTTCAGGAAAAAGTCAGGGAGAAATAAATTTCTTCAATGTCAGGGACAAGTCAGGGAATTTACCTGGAGTCAGGGAAGAAGTGAAATTTTGAGTTAATAGGGGGTCACTCATCTTGTTGTGACCCCTTTCATAATGAAAGATGGTGACATTCCTTTTTGCTTGAATTTGATGTCAGATTTAGTACATTGCAAGCACATGCCATTAAATTCTGTGGTAGTATACCTTGCTTTCTTCACCAATGTCCTTTGCTATTGACTCCTTTTCTTCTTCATTTGAAAAAATCCCTCTAAAATCATGGTAAGCTACTTCACCCAACTGTAAACAAAACAATTAAAAAAGTGTAAATTCTCTCTAAACTGCTGTTGATAAAAGGAGTTGTTTAGTTTTTTCCCCCCTACATGAATTCAAAGTAGCTTTCTTTTAAAAACAAGCTATGTGCATGAAAATTGCCAATGACACTTTGTATTTTATAAGCATCAATATGTGATATGGAATTAATCCAAATGCAGGGCAAGTAAAATGGTATTCACCCTTTAACTCCCATGAGTGACCAATGAGTGACCAAGACAGAATTTCTCCTTACAGTAAAAATACAATATCAAGCAGAAGAGTGATGAGAATAAAGAAATATCAATTAGGGGATCATAAGTTGATCCGATACCAAATTCTCCAAACTAACATCACAGGAACTGTATAGCAGACTGTAAGGAGAGTCACTAACGAGATCTTGGGAGTTTAAGGGTTAAGAAAACAAACCCTGTATTAATAAGTGTCATCCAGCCAGGTGTTGATTCAGACAAGAAAATGTAATCAATTGTTCTAACTTTCCAAGATGAAAGGGAGTTGGTATGGTTAGTGTTGCATATACATTGTATCCTAATTCATACAGTTATCTGAAAATAATGATAGATTCAGACAGTGTTTTTGCTGCAATAATGTGAAGAACTAGCGTCAATTTTCATAGCACATACCACTTGGACCTTACAAATTTTGCCAAAGAGAATGTTTTCCTTCAGACATATTCTCCATTCAATCACCAATTTACATTGGAGGGGTCTAAAACTTAGTCTGGGTGAATAATACCCCACAACACCAGACATGTGACACTTTTTTGTCAGAAATTCAAGAAACAGTAGCACCTCCCCTTCAACACCAAAGCAGAATTGTGTGAAACCCACATCACTTTGATTCAGCCTCAACCTGTTCCCTCAGCATATTCTAAAATACTTATCAACATACAAAGATGCAAAGCTGAAACTAGAATGGAATGCAAAATAAAAGCAAGGACTCACTATTAGAGCTTCTATGGAAATGGGCAGAAGTCCACACTTCATTGCTGATACCTGGAAAGAAGAGAGTATGTCAAATGAACACTTAAAGAGTTTCTGCATCAAAAAATGATCTTTTTCACTGATTTATGTCCACCAAGAAGCAAGTAGGATAGACATATTTGTGGGCTAATGTAAAACAACAGCCACTCATCGACATGCAATCATTAACACATCTTTATTTAAAGTGCATCATATGCAACACCCTGAAATGCACATGTATTCCTCTCCTAGCTACATTATAAGTGAAGCTGTACTTTTGATATCTCTTACAATAAACAGTGTCTACATCACTTTTATGAAGAAATGCTCAGATTAAAAATTGACAAATATTACACTAGTCTCAATGGATTACTATCACATGAAAGTTGGAACAGTTCATTGAAATAACAAAATATTCAGTCTCTAGTGGCTTGGAAAATATAGCAAATACAGTAGAATGGATCAAAACACAGCATTACAAGAGCAAAGCATCTTATCATGCATGACAAAGTGGAGCAACAGTTTTTTTTTCGGAAAGAATAAAACAGGATCATAAAATCTCCAAGAGTAAATTTTTTGAACAAGAGGAGAACATCTACTGGTTGTGCTTAAATAATGGCACAATACTCATTATTATAGGATAAACAGGGTGAAGCAATTTCTGATGACATTTTGGTTAACTTTCTCCAAAGTTAATGCCAGAGCTGGTTTTAATAAGTCAAGAATACACCCAAAACCAAGAAAACAAAGTAGACGTGCATTAGAAAAACCATCAAATAGTGATTTCAATATTTTCTTAATAGTTTATGAGGAATGCATCCAATGTACACCAAATAAATCAGGCAAAACAGTCCAGCAAAATATTGCTCTCGACTCATTTATATATATGAACAAATGCTCAAAGACAAGTGTCAAATTAAAGAAGGATAGAACGTGTTGAGAAAGTTCTAGAAAATTCATGATCTGACCGTCAAGTGGGAAAGTCACGATTATCAACGTAAAGCCAAATGTATTTCACAACAACAATTTAACACAAATTATGAAAGGAGATTTCTAGAGGCAATCGAGTTAAGAAAACCTAACAGAACTTGGATATCCGAAAATTACTCTCGGCACGATCAACGAAGATGTTTAATTTATAGTCTTTTCCAAAACATGAATAGAAGATTTATTCAAATCGAACAACCCTGGTCTGGCTCGAGCAGGTGCTAAACGGCAAACACGAGGAACTAGGCTGGAACCAGAGAAACTTGACCCAACGACTCAGTTTTAAACGGGCACTTGTGCTCTAGTCAATACTACAACTGTCGTTAAATATATATTTTAAAGAATCTGGAATGATGACGAGCTACGCCAGTGTTACATTTCCTTATCAATATAATCCAACCGCAGTAAGTCTTCAACAAAGCCTCGATTCAACTGCATTCTGTTATCATTAAAATTTCATTTTTAGTAAGCTTAACTTTACATTTGATTCCACCTTTTTCGTGTCACCGAACATAGATATCACTGTTTCAGGGAAAAATAATTCTCGCTTCAATATCGACTAGACGAAATTCAACCCAAAATTCGATAGTAATCTGATGACAGGAAAATGTACTATTTTCTCAACGGAGGCTTCCGCCCAACTAGCTTCCAATATCTTTAATTTTTTTCCCCAACGTCGGCTTCATCAAAAAGTTAAATACAGATTTTTAATCTTCTGGGCAAGGGAAAACTCCAGTGAGCGATTACTATAGTTTATTTTTTTTGGCACGGGAAGTACAGTAATGGTAAAATTTGACATTTGGCGACGAGCGCGCAGGATTCGAAACCTCGAACGGTTGTCAACTGTCTCAAACCTGCAGAAATGGTAGACCCCTGCAGTTGAAATGACAAAAGTCACGCGAAAAAGACAGTTCAACCGTTTTTACTTCATTACGGTTAAGTTAAATCTATCAGCAATGTAAACTGACAAAATGGACAACACTAATTTCACGACCAAGTGCAGTATCGACGGAGAAAATATGCAGCGCATACCGAAATGACGTATCAAAATTGAGGCCAGTTCGTCAGAACCTAGCAGTGCAAATTTACCCAAATGTACAGTAGTTACAAGAAATAAAACTAGTTTTTATTCCTGTATAAGCAAGAACACTTACGGCTACAACGTCCGCTTGGTGAAGATGTATAATCGCCCTGGCATCTTTTCTGGCACCATGGAGGGCAGAATGCAACAACATACCAGCTTTATTCACACCGAGATTGGTGCTGCCTTGATCAACCACACTTCCATCCGGATTGACTTTAACCAGACTGGACGCAGTCACTTCACTGTACATGAGTCCAAATGGATGGATCAGGAAACTCTCTTGGTCCGCCGAGGGGCGAATCTGTCAAAATAGAAATCCACATCAACAATTGTAACAAACAAGTATTTGTATCAGTGATTCACTACTCCATACAGCCAAACTATCTACCAGAAGTGCGCCACTGCATTCACCAGCCAATACAACCACCAGAACAAATGAGTTTTCGAATTCGTACACCGCTCTAAAATTCTGGGGGCCTAAGAATATGGAGTAACAACTTAAACCAAGGTAGTCACGTATGCGTCCGTGGCCATGAAGGCCATTGAAAACAAACTCGCGCGCGAGTCAACTAACACAAAACAAATACTGCCGTACAGTTCACTAGAAGACATGAATTTTACGAGTACTCACCGTTATGAAGCTATACAAACCACTGTTCCATCCAAAAAGATCGACTAAGCGGTATGTAGCGGCCAGTTTGCAACGTAATAACCTCTCCTGTTTGGAATAATTCAAAGTATCGGAACCTCTTATGTCTGCTATTGGAGTGACTACAGCAGACATGCCTCCTCCATAGTACGTGCTGGAGGGAATCAAAAAATCTTGATAGGTGCGGACGCCTTCTCCGCCACTTTTGGGACCATTCTGAACGTAGTTTTGAACAAGATCTTCCAGTTCATCGCGAAGAACCTTGTCATTCAGAACAAGAGAAACACGCTGTCGAAGCTTGAGACCACGAACGTCGCGAACGACATCTTCAGGCCTTCGCACTGCTCTCCCTCTCGAAGGGGCGCTAAATCTCCTCGCTTTACCATCCATTAGCGGTTTGTTAGCCTTCCCTGTCGACATGTTGGCCACTTCGGCTTAGGTTGTGAGGCCAAACCGAGAAAGAAATGTTTTCTAAATGGCGATCACACCTTCGTGAAACGCCCAAACCACGCGCAGAAAACTCAGGAATAGACAATGCTCATGCGTTACGCTCGAAAAAATGTAATGTAAACTTTTATCTCATTGGTTAGGAGGAGATCACGTGGTAGTGATTATTGATCGCGCGTAAGGAAAACACGCACGAAGACTTGTAAAAAATTTTCATTCAGGTGATGTTTGCTGAAGAAATCACGCTTTAAGAGCATAACGAGATTACCCTCGCAGTTTCTAAGGACCGATCTGAAGAAGATTAAAAAAGAACTCGACGGAAGAGAATCATTTTATTTTGGAACATGGCCTTGCTCTGTATCTGTGGAATTGCAACCAGATGCGTTGCTAGCAAGGTTCAAATGTTTGAAAATCGATCCTGTGACAGATTTGATATTTTTATTTTTTTTCACCATTTCATGACATCGTTCCTAAGTATCCTTTCCGCTTTTCTTTTTTTTCAGTCATCAATGTCACGGCCGTCGTTCAATGTGTAAGTCCATTTCACACGCGAAAAAAAGTGAAGTAATAATGTGGTCTTAGGCAATTTGGCCTTCGTGTCGGATGTTTTTTGATCGTACATTTTTAGAAGGTAGCACAGTAGATATCGATCTGATTGGACACTTGTTCTTTTTTTAGCGCGCATGCATTATTTACCACAATTGAAGTTAAATAGCCAGGAAATTTTTCGTTGACAATGCGTTGTGGTGCGGCGATTGAGAATATCAAGGTAAGCGATACTTGTCACCTTATCAGACACGCCTTCTACTTTGAAATCGGGTGGCAATCAATATGCTCTTACGTTGCCTAATAGCCGAGTTTGTCAAATTCCACACCCTAAATTGATTTTCATGTCAACCCTTTCAAAAAGTCCGAGTTTAAATTTTCATCGGGGAACATGATCGTATACCAGTGCTACGGAACAAAACAGATGCCTTAGGCCCCTGTCGTTTAGAGTAAACAAAGCATAATAACAATTTTTTCTCGAAACACTGCCATTTGCGGTCAATGTTTATTTATTAACTGAAATACTTTCGAATTTATCAGCATAGAAAGGAGGCTTGCTATCTATTGCTACAGAATTATACGCCTCAAGAAACTGGAATATTCGTTATAGTTTCGCGAAAGATCGCGAACAATAAATGGGTCAAGAGGCAGTTGATGACCTTTTACCATGTGCGCGAAGCGCGTCCGTCACGTTTAGGGAACAGGATATTCAGTGTGAAATCACTTGGTTATCAACAGAAATGGTTGTTTATGAGGCTTCTTTCGGTATTTTCTGTGACAGCATAGAGGTATTTAGAGGCAGCCCTTAAAGAAATAAAGAAATGCTTGTTTGCCATTTTCCTAGCATTTTTCAAACAATCTTCTAAACATGCGGTCATCATCCTTGAGACGCTGATAACAGATGGATCCAAAATGTTTTTAGAGTCAGCGACAGGATGTAAATGAAAAGCTAGGAAAACAGAGCGTTCTTTTACTCTGAGTAAAAATTTCTTTTAAAGTCATTGTCTCCTTTAATTGAAGCTCTTACAGAATCGTCTGTAATTGAAGGAAGTTAAAAGAAAAAAATCAAGACAAAGAGGGCGATCAAGCGGAGATAAATATTCCGTGACTGTGGGTAATCCAATTTCGCTCGCAAGATTTTTTTCATCAAGGGACGAGTCCCTTGGGCCGATTTAAAAATATACAGAAGCTAACAATAAGGAAGGCGGTTTTACATGAGTATTCAACATTGCACGAGAGAAAGGAAGGGACGATTAGAAGTATTTACAGTTTTCCGTAAGTATAAGCTGAGGTTGAACCATCTAGAAGTTGCAGTCAAGAAGTTACAGTCGAGTTATCTCGCGATAATTATCTTCTTTAGAATTATTTCACGATTGTTGGATTGAAATAGAAAAGAGGTTGAGAGTGTCAATTTAGTTTAAGTATCAATTTAGTCTTATAAGAAAGTTAAGCTATTCTATCCCTTTGACCCCCTTAGCCGGTCTCCAAAAGAAACTAATTGAGAGCTAATTGCTTCCCAATCATCCCTTTGTTTGACCTTACTTTAACGCTGAAATCTTCGAAGTAAACCGCTATTTACCAGAACCGCTGATAATCGCTTCATCGTTTACTGTTGTTGGCATAGTTGCTAGTTCAGCTCACAGCATGACGCCGACGATATGTCTCTTTGCCAGCAAACAGAAAGAACTTCATCATGTAAAAAATGTCGTCAGCGCGGAAAATAGACATTCTCATGGTGGCCTACTGTGGGAGATTATCCAGGCCTGGAGATTATCTGAATAGAGTGTACAATATAAAATCAGAGAGTAGGTTGGGGGGGGGGGGGGGGGGGGGGGGGGGGGGGAGAAGGGAGTGTAGCGAGGATGTCCTGCTTTCCGTACTCTGCTCTTCGGCTTATCGCATCTAATCCGAACCTTTGAATCTCGTCTCTTGCTGCTGACCTTTTTGCAAAACACCACAGATTGATGATTAAAGAATGTTTGTAATATTTCGTTTTTCTCTCCTATGAGTTCCAGCTTCTTTCCTTCCGTACCCTTCTCAACTCTGTGTCACCCTTTACCAATGCTATCTTTCGAAAGCAAAGACGAAAGTCCTCTTTTTCCTGGCTGGTGGTTTATTTAAAGTTTTTACAATGATGTTGGCCGGATGCATAACTATTATTTGTGATTGGCCCCAGGACTTTTCTGATCCTTGGCCGCACCCATTCCTTCAGGTGGTTCCTAGAGCCTGATACACATAAGACTGTCATGAACCCACATGCACCATCTATCCTCAAACAGCTTCCAACAGTTTTTACCCTGAGAGCCACCGGCTAACCGTGCACTTGGTCAGCACGTGCACGAACAATACTAAACATAGACAAACATTGAAGTAATTCTAAGGGATTCTGATCCCGTGGGAGTAACATAGTAGTATGATGCCTACTCCGCTACTTTGGAAGCACTCGCCAGATTTTTTAACTCTGAACATCCGCCGGAGACTTGGAGAATTGCGAAACATGATTGTTATGTGCAGCGACTAACGTGACTCGTACTTTCATCTCTTCAGTTGGTTTGACTGGCGCTTCGACTTTCCTGTCCACATTTAACTCAATTTAAGTAATGTGAAGGCTTATTATACTACAGCCCGAATTTTGTTCACCGCGTGCACAAATTAATACGGGCCGGCATCTTTACACAAGATTAGATTGTTACGATCTTACTTCTCCCATCTTGATTTAATCCGGCTTTATCTTTATCGTGCTTCTCAACAGGCAAGCAACGTGGTTTTATCATTGTTAACTTTGAGACTTTTCTATCTCAACCACACGCACACAGATGTTTGAACAGTTTGATCATTGTCCATATCATGCAGACTCCTGGATGCATAATCGGGGAAACAAGGGCCTTTGCGTTAAACATTCAAAGACGATTAGGAGGAAAGACCAAACTTTACATTTACTCCAGCCCATTATAACACCAGATAAATCTACACAGATTGAGTTTTTTGTAAGTACTAAAACATGGAACGACCTAAAACCACCTAAAACCGCCTACAACCACTTACAACCACCTACAACCACCTACAACCACCTACAACCATCTACAACCATCTACAACCACCTCAAAAATTTCAACAACCACCTACAACTACCTCAAAAACATCTACAGCCACTCGCAAACTGTCTAAAACCATCTGAAACAAGGCATAAATGTCTAAAATAAGGCGAAACGACAATTTGTCAAGTACACGAAATACGAGAATCGAACGAAACCTCCACCTCCCCCTGAAATCTTACTCTACAATCAACCATCTCACGAAATGAAATACGATAGCATGCCAATTATATTTTTTATTACCTCAGCTGTAAAAGACTTAGAGAACTTTACAAAATGAACTAACAAGTTGCAAAAAATAATAAATAGGGAATGATATATGGGCGCGTGTATATATGGAAGTTTTTGTAATCATGATTCAAAGCATTTTTCCATCTTAAGAGTCAGCGCCAACGCGCTCTACGATTGTTATTCGAGGATTGTCGGTCAGTTTTTCTTCCCAGAAAAGGGCTATTGTGTTTACATGACAAGCAAAATAATACATGGTTGCTTGTAGATACAGTATGGAATTTCTCTTCTCGTGTCAACTCGACATCTTACTCGTTCGCTGCGCTCACTCGTGAGCTATCGAGTTAAACACTCGAAGATTAATTCCATCGGTTTCAGGGGGAGGTGGAGGTTTCGTTCGATTCTCGTAATTCATATACGTGACATATTGTCGTTTCGCCTTGTTTTGGACATTTATGCCTTGTTTTAGATGGTTTTAGATAGTTTGCGAGTGGCTGTAGATGTTTTGAGATGGTTGTAGGTGGTTGCTGAAATTTTTGAGGTGGTTATAGATGGTTGTAGGTGGTTGTAGGTGTTTTCAGGTGTTTTCAGGTCGTTCCATGTTTTAGTACTTACGTTGAGTGGTATTTTCCGAAAAAAGGTCGAAAGTTTGAGAATTGAAGGAGTAACACACGAGAACCCACGCTCGCAACTGAAAGATCTCTCTTTACTCGCGTGACGATCACGAAAAGTGCGCGACTCTTCTAGAATCCCGACTCTTTTTTTTTCCTCTGTGATTTCGATGCCGCCCGTAGAGATTAGGTAAAACTTAAGGCATAAGAATGATAACATGTTTGCGGTCATTGCAAGGGAGACTCAAGAAATAATCCTCTCACATGAATCCAGATCTGCCCAAATCGAATTTCTCTTTGTTCCTCGGTCCATTTGGCGCCAGAATGGTGAAGCAGACGCACCGAAAAATTGGAATCGTTTCGTCAGCCGTTTCGAAAAAGGGCCAAATGAGTGGATCTTGAAACATTTCGCACCCTTAGTGTCATAACTTCGAAAAAAGTCTGTGGAAACAATAGTGCCGTGGATTAACTTGCTGGCAGACGGAGAAATTTCATATTAAAATTCGACAATCCGGTTCTAGTGATGCCAGCAGAAGACACGAAACAGGCGAAACACAGTTTGAAGGTAGCTGGCTTTTATCGATCTCTTTCTCGGAACTTACTT